TTAGGAGAAGTTGGGTGAGAGACATGCAGGAACTCTGTATCATTATTGCAACTTTTCTCTAAGTCTAAATTTAGGTTAAAATAAAAAGCAGAAAACCCCCACAAATTAATGCTGATCATTTAAATACAAAAGTGGCGGGGGGGGGGCTGCTTATTTGTCTATATAACTGAAAAAGGCACAGGTATATATATGGGCTGCAAGCATAGCAGGATCCAGGCAGCTTAATTATCAGGAACTGTCAAACAACAAGGTCCAACAGCACAGGGAACTATATTCAATATCCTATGATAAACCATAATGGAAAAGAATATGAAAGAGAATATCTACGTATAACCCAATCACTTTGCTGTACAGCAGAGATTAACACAACATTGTAAATCAACTATATTTCACAAAAATTAAAAAAAAACACTCATGACAGAAAAAAAAAAAAAAAGGAATTGCCTCCATCTTTCTAGGTTTTACTTCTTTTGTGGAGCTTCATAATCAGGTAGCCCCATCCCTGGTGATGGCAAACGGCCCACCAGATTTCCAAGCTGATGTTCTGCCATTTTAGCCACCCAAGAATTTGTCCTTCAGTAGTTCCGTTTGGTTCCCTGCTGTATCCCTAGCACCTAACTTGGTGTGTTAAATGAATGGTTACAGTAAAAGTTCTGAGATGGACTCTTATTGGCTTAGAGTTGCATGCCCATCTCCAGCCCAATCAGTGTGACCTACCTTACCTGGGTCACATGGGTGGGGTCAGAGCCCTGCAACACATTGACTAAGCTGGGAGAAGGCTGTTGCCTGAAAGGAAGTAATAGGTACTGTTATCAGAAGAAAGGTTGCAGGCAAAACCAATATGTCCCCTGCGTTCTTAGAAGGCAGAGCTGCTGCTTTTTCTCCTAGAGGCATCCACAACATAGACCTACATTGAAAATGTACAGGCCTGAAGATGCTGACTGAGCTGAGCTCCCAGACCGCAGTCCTTGGATAGCCCTCGTTAGTGGAGGATAAGATTAGGGCTCTTCTTCGGGATGCTGGGCTTCTTGCATCTGGATCAGATGGAGATGGTTGTCAGGGAAGAAGAACTGGCATAGCCAAAGACGTCCAGAACCCCAGGATTCCTTCTAGGCCACAACAATGGGCAATTCCAGGCACGGAACCTTTCCAATCTACCCCTGCCAACCCTAGCCAGGAGCCTCTAATCTAAGGTCTTGTTTGTTCATTTGGGTTGGGGTGGCATGGAGAGAGGGACAGAGCTAACCTGAGCATCAGGACAGACATCTCAGATGAACGCCTTATGCTCTATGTGAAGAATGCCTACAGAGGGGACTTCAGAGTCTCAGCTGCCAGTCTCACCCAACCCCCTGGCTAACTCCCAAACCATTCGCTATCTCCTCCACGGCCTTTCCACAGACCTGTGGTGGGCTGAGGGGATGGGGGCGCAGAGTGCCCACGGAAAAAAGTCTGACTTGTGTGTTTTTCAGATATTTTATTAAGAATAAGGCATATGACAGTCACCCCTAAAGCACAGGGTTCTATTTCTGTGGGTGAGTGAACACACTCTGAAAAGCATTGGATTAAAAAGCGCAGCCAACAGAGAACTTGGAGCAGGATCCCTCTGCCGCGCCCATGGGGCTCCTGCCAGGTGGCTCTGAAGCCTCGCGCGTCCCCCATTCAAGGCTGGCACCTCAGCGAGAGGGTGCTTAGAGATCCCTGGTTCTCCATGATGAGGAGATGCTCCTCCACACCCTCTCAGCCTCCTTCCTCTCCATCAGGGAGACCTCTATTCTGCTGCTTGTTTGGGGAAGGGCTACCCCATTTCAGCCCTGGCCTGGCCCCCCAAACTGCAGGCTACTGTGGGTGGGATATTGGGGGGCAGGGGTACAAAGCCTCATGCTGTATTGCCCACAGGTCCCTGATTGGCTTCCAGAACGGGGAGGGGTCCCCACCTGCAGCTCCTGGTTCCAACTAGGGGCCCTGAGTGTCCATGTCAACACAGTCCTCCCCCAATGGGGATTCATGCAGCAGAGAAGAGGGGAGATGTGGAGAACAGGGAGAGGGAAGGAAACAATCCTTTCCCTTCTAGCCACCCAAACTTTATAGGGGCTCAAGGGAGGGCGTCTTTCCCTTGGCAGGGTGGGTCCCCCAGGCTAGAAGAAGGGGAGGGCCAGAAGCTGAGGGCAAGGCTGAGGAGTTTCTGACCGCTGAGGCCAAGGGCAGGCCACTGACTCCCAGTCTTATTCTGCTGCCCTGAGGGTTCTGTTCCAAACCCAGGTGCAGGAGAGAGGCAGGAAGCCTCTGTCCATTATTTCCAGGAGAGGGAGGGGGAACGGGAATTTCTCATAAAATCTGAACCCTGCATTTGCCTTGGCCCCTGCCCCAGCTTGCTGAGTGGAGGTGGGAGGGGTGCTTGCCTTATTTCCTTTCCAAGGCACCCCGACACCTCAGCTGGGAGTCAGTGAGTCAGCCGCCCCAGCACGCTGGACCTTCATGTGGGGTATCTCCAAGTACCTCACAATTAAGTGTCATCATCTCTGATTGCTGGAAGAGGGACAGGAGGTGGGAGGTGCTGATGGGGTCACTTGGGGAGAGGCAGGCAGGCCACAGGAGGATCCGTGCGGTAGGGGGTTTTGGGGCCCCCAGCCAGACAGCTCGGGTACACAGGAGGGAAGGAGGAAGAGGGCTATTGCTATAGAGCCGGGGGAGGCCAGGTGGGCGTAGCTATGGCTTTTATTGGGTGGGTGGGTGGATAAAGTACTTCACCATCTCTGTAGAAGAATTGGTGTAACAAAGTCACCCAGTTCACCCCAAAAGTTTGATTGTGGAAGATGAGGGTGCCTCCAGAAAGACCCCCTTTCCCTCCTGCCCAGGATCCTCTGGGCCCCGTCAAGTGAGAGAAGCCAAGAGCAGAGAGAGGCCTCCTCACCCAGACCTGCTCTGAAAGGGAAGGCAACGGGTCGAGGGGGTACGGTGAGTCGCCCACACTTGAGGGGACACAGAGGGTAGAGGCACAGCCACAGAGACTGGGGAGGGGAGAGGTGGGAGCAGGCAAAGCAAGGACCCTAGGCCACTACTGTGACCCCTGAGACTGGACAGCACGGTCCGTTCCAAGGGTGCCTCAGTGGCGGACACCTAGACCAGGCCTGGTTATTGCTCAGCGGCCTCAGCAGTCCTGAGCTGGGAGGGGGCTGCGTGTTTGTGAGCTCACTGGTGTCCTGCTCCCTCTAACATATACAGTGAAAGAGGGTATAATTGGGGTTCCTTCCCCTCTTCTTCATGGGGCCGTGACGGAAAAAGGGTTCATCACCCTAGAGACCTCCCAGACCCCTGGGTGACAAACAGAAGGCTCAGCCCCAGCCCGGGTCAGGACCTGCCAGGATGGGGTGCTTGTGAGTGAGATAAAGGACTCTCCCTGCCCCATGTCCTCCCATGGCAGCCCCTGGAAGACATCACAGGCACTTAGGGCTTGATGCAGGACCAACAGAGAAGGGATGGCATGAGAGGACAGGGTTCTAGGGATTTGTCTTTCTTTCTAGGCCAGACTGGGTGGGGGCAATGAACTGGACTGGAGCTTCACTTCCTGCCTTTGGTCGTGACAGGGAGATGGGGAGAAACGTGTTAGGAGGTGGGCAGTATTCTTTCCTTTTGCCACTCCCCAACCTAGAGAGAGGGCACTAAGCACCCCACCACTGTCAGGTCTGATAGGATTGGGGGCATTCCTGGAGCGGGCCAGGCTGGGGCCTAACCTGTCCACTCCCTTCCCCCGCTCCCCACAGCAAACCCAAACCTCTTTCAACAGCTGCCACTTCCAAGAAGCCGGGCCCTTCCTCCTGCCTCTGGGCGCAGCCAGCTCATGAGCAAGCTGGGCAAAATTAGCACCAATAAACAGGACTAGGAAAACTCCCAGGGCAGCCTTCAGGTTCCCAGCTACCTCCTGAAAGCACTTTCTAACCCTTCCATAAGCCTGATGGGGCAGCCCGACTCTGCCGTGTCCCCAGAGTCAATACCTAGGTCGGCATCCTGGGGCAGAACTGAGCTGGAGACGGCTCTAGACCAGGATCTGCCACCAAACCCATTCTGTAATCTTCTCTAAGGGTCTATGGGTGCTAATTTCCAGAAGTTCAAACTTCAGTAAGTCCACACTTTCCCCATCAGGGGCTCTGGAGGAGGCGACTTCTAAAGTGTTCCGTGCTCACCTGTAAGGACCTATCAACAGGGTAAGGGGTAGGAGAAGCGGCTTCCAAGGTAAAGGTCCAGCCTCTAAACCTCACCCCGAACTTCCCCTTGGAGGAAGGCTCGGCGGGAAGGGCAGCCGTGGGGGGCTGGGGGAGGCCGCAGCGGGGAGCTGGAAGGCCTAAGGATGCTAAGGGCCACTCTGGTTCCTTTCCGTAGGCCGCCCAGGCTTCTCCCTCCCGCCAAATGATTGTCAGCTTTCCCGGGGCAGGGCGTGACCCCCGCCCCTTCCCCTTCCCCTCCCAGTGGCAGGGTGGGGACCAGATAAAGATCGGTGCTGTGAGTCCTCTCCTAGAAAAAGGATGCATTCGCTGGGCCCCGCGGAGGAGGTCCCCGGCGGGAGGGGAGAGCTCAAAGCTTCGGCGTTGTTGGCAAATACAAAAGGGGGGGAGGCTGGGAGGGGCGAAGGGGCGGGGGAGCAGGGGCCGCCTCCGCCCGCTCCCTGGGGGAGGGACCGGCTGCCTCAGCCCCTGGGACCCGCCCGCGCGGCCAGAGGTGCGTCCCTAGTCGGGCCCCGGGCCCGCCTTCCCCCGCTCCCCGCCCCGCCCCTCCCAGCCGGCCCCGCGCTTACTCCGGGTCCGCCGGCGCACTGGGCGGGTTGGGCGCGGCCGGCGGGGTGGCTTGGTCAGGGGGCTCCTGGGGAGGCGGCTGGCGCGGGCTGCGGCCACCTGGCCGCGGGGGCCTCCGGGCGTAGAGGAAGAGCGCGGGGTCTGGCATGGCATCGGCGTCGTCCGGGGCGCCGGCCGAGCGCTCCCGGGCGGCCCAGTCCCGGCCGGGGCCCTTGGCGGCGGCCTCGGCTGCGGGCGGGCGGCGGGCCCGCTGTGCGCGCCGGCGGATCCGGGGCTCGGGGGCGGCGGCGGCGGCGCCGGGGCCTGGGCGCGGAGTCTGCAGTTTCTGGCGCGCCGCGTGCAGCTGGTAGGAGAGGTAGGCGGCCGCCTCGGTGTGCTTCTGCAGCTCAGTGCCCAGCACGGTGGCTCGGTGGCTGCGGCGACGCAGCTCCTCCAGGAAGCGGCGCTCCTCGGCGCGCAGGCTGCAGCGCAGCGCCGACACCAGCGCCTCGCGCTGCGCCACCTCCCGCCGCAGCTCCGCGTTGGCCGCCACCCGCGCCGCCAGCTGTGACTCCAGCTCGCGGCACTTGCTCTCCAGCTCCCGGGACGCCAACTCTGGGCAGGGGAGAGGGAGGGGAGAGTGAGGGTCCCCGCCTGGCTGTATCTGCACAGCTCACCGATCCTCAGAGCGAAGCCCGGCACCCCCCGCCCCCGACTGCACGTCCTGCGGCGCTCGCCCTCACTCCCCAAGCGCCTGCGACGCTGGCCTGCCTCTTTCCTCCTCGAGGCCCTTGCACCTATCTTGCTTTCTGTTTGGCCACTCTGATTCTTCAGTGCGCCCCTTAAGTTTAAGTGCAAACCCTTCCCTGACCATTTATTCACTCCATGACTGTTTGTTGAGCCCTGACTCTGTGCGTTGTATTAGGCATTGTGGGTATGGTGGATAGTAAAACATTCCTCAAGCTCACAGCAAGCATAGAATGTGAGGTTGCATCTGTGACACGTGCCAATACCACGACTGTAACAGGAGACTGTGACCTAATCAGGGAAGGCTTCTCAGCCGAAGAGGAACTTGGGCTAGGATCTGACAGGTGAATAGGAATTAAGTAGTGAACAGGGGAGAGAAGGGTGCTTTGGACAGAGGGTAGGACTTGTGCAAAAGCCCCGTAGCAGGAGAGACATACAAGAACAAGGGACTGAAAGAACTGGGAGTGTGAGCAGAAAAGGGGAGTCAGTGTGCTGCGAACCTTGTTTCCTTCATAAAGAGCATTTATTACATTTTGTGGGGTTTTTTTAAACTTGTTTATTGTTTGCCTTTGCCCACTGCATTGGGTTTCAAACCTGGATATACACTGGAACCATCCAGAGAACTTTAAAAAATAGTTTTCTTGGGTCCTATCAAAATATCAAGTACTGGGAAAGGGTACTTCTTAAATCTTCCCTGGTGATTCTCATGTACCCACAGGGTTGAGGACCCCTACCTCCTGGATCATAAACTCCAATTCAGCAGGGTCTGTATCCCAGGACTGGCACATGTGAATGGTGACAAAGGGTAGGTAAAAGGTGACTCTGGAGGGGATATGAAAACCACCAAGTGATTTTCATATAAAAGGAGGACAAGGAAAGAGAGCTCTCAAGCCCACTGAGAGAGAAAGTAAAAACCAGGACACTGGGGCAGTGCCTTGAGCCCAGATGACCCCAAAAGCCCTTTCAGAGGAAGGACAGTAGGTGGAGTAAAAGCTACTATTGTCACAGAACTGTTCTTGCCTGGTGTCTGGGATATGTGACCCCTTCCTCCAAGCGCGTAGGCACAAAGAGGCCCCCCATGACTGCCACTTAAAGCAGTCGGCAGAATTAGTTCAGGGCCATTAAGTGTTTAGATGTTTATGCATGATATGCAAAGCAGTTAGTAGGGCTCCTAGCATTTTACCTTAACCTTAAACTTCCAGCCTTCCCTGCGCCTAACTCTTGGTCCTGTAGCTGTTGATCTATAAGCAGCACATCAATATGGCAGGGAGCCCATTCTTAAAACCCTCCTGGCCAAGAAATACTACTTTTGTGATTCATTTCAAATCAAGCATTTACTGAGTCCCTCTCCATGTCAGGTAACGTGCTTTGCACTGAGAGATGACGGGTAACACCCAGTCCTAGTTCTCAGAGATCATATCATCTGGAGATTAAGATCTCAAAGATGCAGCCCCTCCAATTTGAAAAAATTAATTGTGGCAAAAAAAGAAGGAACAATTTTGCCATCTTAACCATTTTTTAAGTGTACAGTAGTGTTAATATACTCGCATTGTTGTGCAACAGATCTCTAGAATTTTTTCATCTTGCAAAACTGAAACTCTATACTCATTGAACACCATCTCCCCACACCACTCCCCATTTTATGGGTGAAGTAATAATCTATAAACAAATACTTTAGTGGAATTTCTACAACGGCAAGAAGTCATGCTTTTGTAAAATGAAGAATTTGCTAATGTGCCTGTGTCTCTCTGCTCCTCCTCTAGACTATGTTCCTTGAAGTCAAAGACCCCATATTGCCATCGTGTTGAACCTTGACACTCAGCGTCTTGGAGGGTGTGGACACGGACTGTGAGAATCACTGGTGCAAGGATGAGAAGGATTAGGGAGGTGGGTCACAAAGGAATGAAGTCAGCCATGTGGACTTCCTGGACACCATCTCCTTCCTGCTTTCATTTTACCACTTTGGACAGAGACAGGGATACAGGGCACTATGTATGGTGGTGCAGGTTGTTCATTGCACAAGGTTACCCAGCTGAGTGGGCAAATGAGGCTGACGTCCTGCACTCAGTAAGCTGAGGAGTGGCTGTCCCCAAGTCTGGACCAGGGGTGGACAAGGCTTGGGTCCTAAGTGGTGGGGAAAAGGTGACCACTTGTCCTCTTACCTTGTTGGTGAGATTGGGCCTCTTTCATTTCCAGGTCATGGGTCAGTTCTGGGGGCAGAGATAAGAAAAGGCAGTCGTGTGTATATTAGAGATAGAGAGAAAGAGTATGTGTGTGAGATCAGGAATCACAGCCCAGTAAAAGTGTCGATAAGAATTCTCAGAAACCATCTAAACTACCCCCCCTCCATGCTTATTTTACTGCAGCCCAGAGAGGGAAAGAGATGAAAGAGAGGTGTCAGAGGCATAGCCTGAGCCCAATCTAGCTGATTCTAAGCCCAGAGATCTTTCCAGTGTAAGCTTTGTGGCCTGGATTTGGGGGTTAGTTCAACCCTTGTGGGACTGAGGCTTGTTTTGGGGGCTGCGGGGGGAGTATTTGCCCCTTCCCAGAGGTGATGTACAAATATTTAACATGCCAACCAATCAGAGCCAGCCTGGAGGACCCCTGCTGCCCAGGGCACATTCTCTTTACTGTTTAGTTGGTGGGTCTGGGAAGGCTGGAGTGTCCTGGGCTGCTCGGGGACACTAAAGGGGGATTCAGGGCAGTGGCTATTTACCAATAGGACACGTGCGTTTCACTGTTGTCACAGCCAGTACTGCTGTGCCTGTGCTCTTTTCTGAACATCAGCCCTGCCCTTTCTAAGCTCTGGTTCCGCCACTTTCCGCAGGGCGGGGAGAAGAGCTTCAAGGAGGACAGCGCCACCTGGTGAAGCAAAGCCTGCATGGCGCTCGGCTTGGCGCTGAGCGGGTGGGGCGGGGCAGCCAAGGGGCCCGCCAAGGGCACTGGTGTAGGAGCAGTTTCCTCCTCTGCCTGCCTGTCTTCCCAGTCCCCAACCCTTAGATCCCAGAATGCCCCATCCCTCAGCCAGCTGGGTTTGATCATTTTTCCAGCCCACTCCCCACTCCCCCCAACTCCATCAGAGCTCAGGGGCTGGGAGGGGGGCAGGAGGGAGCCCAGGAGCCACAGCTGCCTATGATGGAGGGCATCTGCTCAGGAGCACCTGGGTGTACCTGCAGGGATGCAGCCTGGTGCCCAAAGGGAGAAGGTGTGAACGTGGGGGTGGGGAAGGTAGCCGATCTCTGGGTCCACTGCCCAGTAGCACCAACAGAGAGAGACTCACCCTGTGGGCCCTCTGTCTGCCCCTCCTTGCTGCCTTCTCCAGGCTCTTCTAGGGACTAGGGGCTTTTCTGGAGGTGCCTTCTCTGGGGAGGCCAACAGTTGCCAGGAGACAGACAGCCTGGAGTGCCTGGGCCTTTTGCTGTGACCGGAGCCTGAACCTCCTCCCTGGGGTCTCTGGGAGAACTCTGATGCCTTCACCCCGCCAGGGCTTCCTGGGGCCAGCTTGGCCCCTCCTCCAAGGCCCTGTGATGTAACCCAAGGGGCCCAGGACTAGGTTTGGGGATGTAGCCCACGGGACTCTGGCTCTGTCAGTGACTGCCTGTGGGCTTGTTTCTCCTTAGCCCTTAACTGCTAGAGTTGGGGGTGGGGGGACAGAACCCCAGCTGGGCTCCACTCCCCCATCCATCAACTCTCCCTGCCCATCTTCCAGCCAGGGTCCCCATGGTTTGATGAGTGCGCTGTGAGGTCAGACACACTGTGTGACCTCAGGCCAGTGACAGCACCTCTCTGAGCCTCAGTCTCCCCATCTGTGAAATGGGAACGAAGTTGCACCCACCTCACAAGGGGCTGTTGCTAAGATTAAATGAGACAAAAGAAATAAAGGGCTCAATCTTGGGCCGAGTCGGCTCTTGTTATCATCCAAGCTACCTCCGCAACCACAGCACATTTACCCACCTCTCAAGCCCCTTCATTTTGAGTTGTCACGCAGGTTCTTCCCAAAGGCCTGCCCTGGTTCCTACACCAGCCCCTCCCCACTCTTATCCTTTTCCTACCCTCTGGGTCCCTCTTTAATCTTTTTTTTTTTTTAATTATTTATCTATTTATTTTTGGCTGCATTGGGTCCTCGTTGCTGTCTGCGGGCTTTCTCTAGTTGCGGTACACGGGCTTCTCATCGCGGTGGCTTCTCTTGTTGCAGAGCACGGGCTCTAGGCACGTGGGCTTCAGTAGTTGTGGCTCGCAGGCCCTAGAACACACGCTCAGTAGTTGTGGCACACGGGCTTAGTTGCCCCACGGCACGTGGGATTTTCCTGGACCAGGGCTCAAACCTGTGACCCCTGCATTGGCAGGTAGATTCTTAACCACTGTGCCACCAGGGAAGCCCCAATCTCTTTTTTAAAAATCGCCTTTGTCCTGCTCTCTTTTCCTCCTCACTCCCCCACCCTTTGGAGGGAGGGCCTTATTCAGTCATTTCAGCCCCAAGAGTGGCTGCTCCAGGCCAGCCTGGAGTTATTTTTATCCCCTGAATCAATACCCAAGAGGCTGCGGGCCCACACTTGTCTGAGAAGGGTGGTGGGGGCTGAGGGATCTCCGTTCCTGCCTCTTCCACTTTCTTGGGATCCTGGCCTGTGTCTAGAATTAGGGCTAAGCAAAAAGAAATGAGAGGAAGAGCTACAGGGTCTTAGGGTTCACTCATGTCAATTTTCCTTTAATGTTATTACTGCAATGAAAAAGTAGCATCAGGCAGGGGTGAGATGGTGTGGGTCATCCCTGCCCCCTAGGCTGGCCTCTGCTGCCTGCCAGGCTTTGGGGGAGATGGCAGGGAGCCTGGTCTTGGCAAATGGCAGCTGAACCTGTATATGGAGCTGAAAGTTAGGACTGCTGGCTTCTCGTGCCATAGAGTGAGAAGCCAGGCAGGTCAGTTGAACCTTCTGGGCCTCAGTTTCCCTCTGGGGAATGGGGAGTCTTCCATGAGCAGGGGATGGAAGGGAGGTAGAAATCTGAGCATGTTGAGAGAATGGGCAGAAAGCAACAGAGGCATCACAACTGGAAGTGTGGAGCTCTGGGTTCTAATCCTGCCTCTGACACTAACATTGTGACTCTCTCTCTGGGCCTCAGTTTACCTATTTGTACAATGAAGAGGTTGGGCTGTTCCAGCTGAGACATTGAACGAATCATTGGCTCTAAAGCCTGCACTTGAAGACTCTGCCTGGGTGAGCATCTGGGCCAGAGCCTAGCCTCTGAGAAGGCTACACAGCTGAGGCTTGAGGTGCAAGAGCGGAGGTCAGGCATGCGATTTACATCATCCTTGGCACCTTCCTCTGTCCTGCTTACAAATCCAATTGGTTGCCAGATCCCTTCTTTCAATCTGCCTCCCACTGGTCCTCCCCTTTCCATCCCCCTTCATCTCTCCCCTGGACCTGTCACTAGTCTCCCTGCCTCCTTCTCCCACCAATTCATCTGCCGTACAACTGCTGGATTGGTTTTTTTTTCTTTTTTTTTTTTTTTTTTTAAGTTATATTTATTTTTGGCTGTGTTGGGTCTTCGTTGCTGTGTTCTGGCTTTCTCTAGTTGCAGAGAGTGGGGGCTACTCTTCGTTGTGGTGCACGGGCTTCTCATTGCGGTGGCTTCTCTTGTTGCAGAGCACGGGCTCTAGGTGCGTGGGCCTCAGTAGTTGTGGCACGTGGGCTCAGTAGCTGTGGCTCGCGGGCTCTAGAGCGCAGGCTCAGTAGTTGTGGCACACGGGCTTAGTTGCTCCGTGGCACGTGGGATCTTCTTGGACCAGGGCTCGAACCCATGTCCCCTGCATTGGCAGGTGGATTTTTAACCACTGCGCCACCAGGGAAGTCCTTGGCAGGCAGATTCTTAACCACTGCACCACCAGGGAAGTCCCCCGGATTGAGTTTCTTAATGTAGCATAATTCTGCTCAAAAATCTTCAGTGGCTCCCTACTACCCAGGAGGACTTCTTAGCTGTTCTGATATCGGTCACAGTCTTCCATGATCTGTCTGCAACTCTTATTTCCCAGCAGCTTTAAGCACAGCATTATCCAGTCGAATAGAGCTTTTCATGAGCTTTTGGTTTCCTACCTTCTGAATGTTGCCATGCTGTTCCTTTCATTTGGAAAGCTTTCTCCACCCTCGTTGCCCCGTAATATCTCAGCATGTCTAAATCTTACTCAGCTCTCAGGGAGAGGAAGTGCTCCCTCCTCTGGGGAGCGTGGGATGCCTGGTCTGCTCCTCCATCACCCACGCCTCAAGCTGGACATGATCCTGCCCGTGAACTCCTGTCAGCCCTCTTCACTTTTTGTGTATCTTTAGATTACCTGTTGGTGTGTGTGTGTCTCCCCAACTAGACTGAGGGCTTCTTAGGGCTGGGAGGTGCTTGATGAACATTTTGTATCTCACTTCCCTAAGATTCAGTTTCCTCAGCAAGAAAAAGGGGTGATGGGACACCTGCCTGGCAGGATTGTTAAGAGGCTTAGAGCGGCTCGCGGCGGACACCCCATCAGGGACAGCGCTTATCATGATGCCAGTCGCCCCCCGCCATCCCTCCAGGCCTCACCTGAGCAGCGTTTCTGCAACCTCAGGATTTCCAGGTGCAGGTCTCGCAGCAGGGCCATCTGTTCTTTTTTCAGGAAGCTGATGTGGCGTTGCACGCTCTGGATCTGATGCTCCAGGGACACGGTATCCATGGCAACCCAGGCCTGGGCCCCACCTGGGGAGGATGACAAGGTGAACCCACATCTTCTGGGCCCATCCACCCTGCCAACCTTCAGGTCCTTTCAATTGTCTCCTTCAGTCTGGGGTCCTGTTGTACCGGGCAAATGATTCTGCCACTGAAGTCATTTGTATTTACTCACTGAAGCTTCATAAACAAGCGGTGTGTTGGCAGGAAGTATAATTATTCCCATTTAACAGATGAAGAACCAGAGGCTCAGAGGGAAATGGCTTTACTCCCTTGCCCCCATGTAACTTTAGCCTCTTCTGTATCTCTGAGAGGAAAACAAATGGGGCAGCAAAGTCAGTAAAGAGAGACAGACATTTGGGTTCTAGTCTGCTTCTTCACAAGCTGTGTGACTTTGGGCAAGCCCTCTCTCTCTCTAGGCTCTCAGTTTTCTCCTGGGTAAAATTAGGGAATTGTGGAGAGGATGAATGCTGAAGCCTCTCCAGCTCTGCCATCCCTCAAGCATCCCAGCTCAAAGGTGACCGTCAACTGGCAGGGCAGTGTGATGGTTAGAGCACAACCCTCCGTCAATTCAATTCCATTTCTCTGATTTAACCTCAGCCCAGGGCTCTGGACTCTTCCATGTCACAGAAGAGGAAGATCTGATGAATGTTTTATTAATACTGATCCTGTGGGCTGAGGGCAGGTGGTGGAGTCCCTTTTTCCAAGAGGAATGGGGGAGGGTCATATGGAGACCTAAGCAGTAGATCCACGGTAGAAGCTTATGACACTGTGATGGGAGAGGGAGGCTTGCATCCCTGAATCCTAGTGATGGCCTGGCTTTTCAGCACTCTCTCTTCTGACCCTGCCCCTTTCCCAGTGAGTCTCTTCTGTGATGATCAGCGTCTTGGAAAAGCATAGGCAGAGGGCAAAAACAGGAGGAGGCAGAGGGCAGCAGAAGCCGAGACCTCTGGAATCCAGGACTCAAAGCTCATGCCTTCTCTGCCAGGGACTCCCAAAGCTTGTGACGGCCCTTCCTCCACCTGCCCTAGGAATTCCCTGGCCAGAGGAGAGGAAAACCAGTTGATGGATTGTTCCGTTCAGCAATGGTCCCCTTGAAACAGGCTTTCTGGTAAGCCTCTGCAGAGGAAGATTTTCATTTGTAGGGTCACATCCAGCAGGTGCACCTGAGAACCTCACGTTCATAGGTTCCTCTCTTGGGGCCCCCCTTCCCTTGTACCTGTATGGCCTCCCTAATCCAACCAAATGGACTTTCACTTCAGCAGCGGGGTGGGTGGCCCTTTGGCCTGTGGGAATCACTGGTTACATTTACTGACCATCTGCTATATTTAGGGAACTTTATGCACATTATCTTACTTCTGCCGACCACTCTTCAGTAGGTATCACCACCTCCATTTCACAAACAAAGAAACAGACTCAGAGCTGAAGTGACTTGTGCCAGTTCACGTGGTCAGTAAGTGGCAGCGGATCCAATTCTCCAACCAAGTCTTTTGAATCCAAAGAAGTTTCCCAGTATTTACACTGAAAACAGTCCTGGGTTTGAATCCTAGGTTTTTCGGTTCCCTGCTGTGTGACTTGGGGCAAGAAGGTTAACCTCTCTAAACCTTGCTTCCCCTCTCTGTAAAATGAGGCTACTAACAGTAGCAGTCCTAGGATAGGTGTGAGGGTTAAATGAAATTAGAAATTGTAGAGCATTTAGCACAGAACCTGGCTCAATCAATGCCTCATCCCTTCTCCTCCCTGTTTAATGTCTGAGTAGGTTAATCCCTGCCCTGATTTGCCCATTTGTTCATCATTCATTCATTCAATGATCCACTATTACCAACCACTGTGCTGGGTACAGGGACATAGTGATGAACAAAACAGTATTCCTGCTTTCTGCTCTCATGGAGCTCACAGGGCCAAGAGAAGAGAATCAAACAAATAAACAGGTACATCAAACAAACAAATAATACAAATAAGTTTACAGTTACAATCTATAAGTGCTGTGAAAGAAACATGCAGGGTAACGTTGAAAGAATATAAAGTGGGACCTAGTTTAGATCTGGGGTCAGGGAAGGTATCTTTGTGGAAATGATTTTAGGCTGAGAGACTTCCCTGGTGGCGCAGTGGATAAGAATCCACGCTCCCAATGCAGGGGGCCCGGGTTCGATCCCTGGTTAGGGAACTAGATCCCACATTCATGCCGCAACTAAGAGTTCACGTGCCACAGCTAAGGAGCCCGTGTGCCGCAAATAAGGAGCCCATGAGCCGCAAATAAGAGCCCACGTGCTGCAACGAAGACCTGGTGCAACCAAATAAATATTTAAAAATGAAAAGAAATGATTTTAGGCTGAGACCTTGTGGCAGGCAGAATTCCAAGGTGGTCCCCAAGATTCCCAGCCCCTGATATATACACCCTCTAACATTCTCCCCTCCCCTTGGGTGTGGGTGGGATTGTGAATATGATAGATTTCATTCCTCTGATTAGGTTTTATGACAAAGGTGAAGGATTTTACAGATGTAATTAAGGTCTCCAATCAGTTGACTTTGAGTTAAAAACAAAAGGAAGATTATTCTGGGTGGGCCAGGTTCTAAGGGCCCTTGCTATAGGAAGAGATCTGAAGGGTGAGAGAAATTTGGCTTCTGGCCTAGAAGGGGTAAACTGCCATGCTGTGAGACAGCCTGTGCAGGAAGCCATAGGCAAGAACCTGAGCGAGGGCTCTAGTAGCTGAGAATGGTCCCTGATTGACAGCTAGCAAGAAAATGGGGACTCCAGTCCTACAGCTGCAGGGAAGTAAATACTGCCAACAACCTAAGGTATCTTGGAAACGGATCTTTCCCTAGTTGAACCTTCAGAGAAGGATGCAGCCCCACCTTGATTTCAGCCTTAGGAGACCCTGAGTGGAGGACCCCAGTAAAAGGTGCCAGACTTCTGATCCTTGGAAACTGTGAGATGATAAATTTATGCAGCAAAAGAAAACTAATGCAGACTTGAAGGGGGGTAGGAGTTAGAAGACTAAAGGGAAGAGCATTCCGCACAGGGAACAGCATCTGTGAAGGCCCAGAGGTAGAATAATGATAGCTTACATTTACTGAGTGCCTACTGTGTGCCAGGCTTTGCACTAAGTGCTTTATGTGGTCTTTTTGAGGAACGGAGACATTGCCACTGCTGGTGAAGTTGAAGTGTAAGGTATTAGCGGAGAGTTGCAGGAAGCGAGGTTAGCAAGTGAAAGATCACACAGGGACTTAAAACTGTGTTAAGAATTTTGGACGAATACTAAATGAATTGGGAAGTTATTAAAGGATTTTAAGCAGGAGATGGACGTGATATGATTTGCATTTTTAAAAGATCACTGGCTGTTGTGGGGAGGGCAGATTAGAGGGGGCAGAGTGGATGTGGGGAGGTCAGCTGGGAAAATGTAGCAGTTATTAAGGTGAGAGATGACAAAGGCCTGGACCGGATGATGGAGGTAGAGTTGGAGACAAGTTCCAGGTGTATTTTATGGGTAGAACTGGCAGGATGAGGGGATGGCTTGGATTAGATCATGATGATGGGGAAGGGGATGTCCAGGATATCTCCCAGTTTTCCAGTTTGGGAAACTCAAGTATGAAGGCACTTTTTGCTGGATCTTTCCCCATTTCTTCATCTTTCATGCTGGACCTCTTTCACATTGGATCTCTTCTATAATCACTCCTTCCATGATCTCATCCAATCCAATGGCTGTAAATGCTATTTATATGCTGACCCCTAAACTAAATCTCCTAATACCTCCACTTGGGTGTCTAATAGGTCCCTCAAACTTACAAGGTTCAATACTGAACTCTTATGATCCCTCCTACAAGCCTGCTCTGGCCCAGTGTTCGCTATCTTGATAAAGGGCACTTGGTTGCTCAGGCCAAAAACCTAGGAGTCATCTTTGATTCCTTTCTTTTTTCTTTCTTTATTTTAAAATTTGTGTTTGGCTGTGTTGGGTCTTTGTTGCTGCTTGTGGGCTTTCTCTAGTTGTGGAGAGCGGTAGTTGTGGCACACGGGCTTAGTTGCTCCACAGCATGTAGGATCTTTTTGGACCAGGGATCAAACCCATGTCCCCTGCATTGGCAGGCAGATTCTTAACCACTGAGCCACCGGGGAAGCTCTGGCCTCATGGCTTTTTATTCAACTTGCCAAGCATACTGTAGCCTCAGGGACTTTCCCTCTGCCAGGAATGTCCTTCTTCAGGATACCCTCAAGGTCCATTCCCTCCCTGCATTCAGGACTCTGACCCAGGGCCCTTCCCTGATTGCCTGATTTAAAATAGAACTCTTGGGAATTCCTTGGCAGTCCAGTGGTCAGGACATTGTGCTTCTACTGCTGGGGGCCCAGGTTTGTTCCCTGATGGGGGAACTACGATCCCTCAAGCCGCATGGCGCGGCCAAAACAAACAAACAAGAAACCAAAAAATGGAACACTCTGTCACTCTCCATTCCCTTAATCTGCATTGTTTTGTTTCCCATGAACTTATCACCACAAGAATACATTACATTTTTGCTTATCTGTTTCCCCTGCCAGATCGTTGGCAACCCGAGGTGAAGGACTCTGTTTTGTTTCCTCCTGTTCCCTAGTAGGTAGCATAGCATCTGGCAAATAGGAACCACTCAGTAAATATGTGTAGAATGCCTGAGTGAGTGAATCTGTCAAGCTGGGGCAGACTGACGGAGAAGCGGATTTACAGAGAAGTTAAGTCCCAGCCCGAGACATGTTAGATTTGACATGCTCAGGAGACCTCAAACAAGGAGAAATAGATTTCAAGCAGGCAGTCAGTATACTGGTGCATAACTCGGGAGGAACAGGTGAGCTACGCCTGTGCTCTTGTGTATCTATGTTGGGATGTGTGTGCCTCTGCACCTGTGCATATACTTGAGCCTGTGTGCTTGCCTCAAGGAGTGCATGTATGTGTTGCATGTGTGTATGTGTGTTGGGGGAGGGTCCCTGCTTCTCTTGCATCTATGTGTCTGCTGTGCGTGCACCCGAGGGATGAAGGCATGTGGGCCTATGCTTAGGAGGAAGAGAGAAAATGTCTGTTCCTAGCTGCTGAAAAGCAAATGTTTCTGAAGAGTAAAAGCCCTTTCCACACAGCCCTGGAGACTGGACCCTGGCCACAGTGAGAGGCTGAACCAACCAGCTGTTTCTGTGCCTTCCCAGAAGGACTTGAGTATTTGCTTCCAACTAGGCAGGCTGTTCTTCTCAGGGCAGAAATTTGGGTCACAAATGATCTTGGCAAATATTCTTTCTTAGACGGTATTGTTTAGTTTGTTTGGGGGAGGGCGGGGAATGGAGTGGGGAAGGGGGAACCAGGGACAACACAGATCTCTCTGTGTAGCTGGGGAATCACAGGCACTTCAGAAGGCCTGAGCCAGGAAAATGTCAGGTTTTTGCATAGAAATGCAGTGCTGGAAGCTCTAGACTTCAGAAAATGCTCCTGCCTGAGGACTTGGTCCAGGCCAGTGGCAGCAGATGAAGGGTTAGAGCTATCAGTGCCATCTTCTCCCTGCACCCAGCCCGAGATGCCCAAACTCACAGATTATAGTGCTTGCTGAGAAGGGTCCCTCACCTCTGTCCACTGTCCAACCACTTCAGGGCCTGCGTTGTTTATGCTGCCCACCTTCTCCTTGTGTCCCTAGTTCTCTCTTTGAATTTTCTAGTTTGATAAAAAAAGTTCATTTAAAAAAAGTGTCATTAAGAATAAAAAAGGACCTGTAACACAGGCTTCACAATTTATAGAGTTAATTCCAAGTACTTTTGATATGCCTCTCATCTATTTGAAAGTTATAAATATTTTTCCTTCTTGGGGAAGCTGGTGGGAGAAACCTTCTGTGCTCAGGTCCCCAACCATTGACAAAGTGTCAGGCCCAGGAACTCTGTGATCCTGGTACAATTCTGACTTTCTAAGGCCTGGGCTCCTGATCTCTGAAAATGACCTCATCTCCTGCTTGTCTCTGGAGCTTATGGGTACCCACTTCCTTCCCCAGCTATCTATCTACCACAGACTGGGCAAGGAGGAAACTGTAGTTCTCTCTCCTCTCCCGTTCTTAGAGCTCCTTGGGTTGAAAGAACCACAGAAAGTACAGAATCATAGTACTCAGGGCTCAGAGAGGCCCTCAGAATCATCGCAATCAGTGTTTTTCAAACTTTGCTGCATAGAGCCCCCAGAGCTCTGCAAAGGGGTCTCAGATGTGGCCAAAAGGTTTGAGGGCAAAAGACAGGACGGAAGCTTTGCTGTGTTTCTTCCTCTTTTATATGGTGGGCTTGTGCATACAAATTCATTGGAGAAAGGGCTTCCACTAACCAAAAGTTTGAAAACCACTTAAGTAGTCCAAATTTTCCTTGAGTGGCTAACCATCCTCCCTTCCTTAGTCTGCTCCATGTCCCTTGGTCTCTGCTGCCCCCGTCTCTCCCTCAGGCAGACACCGTGGCTGGGAGATGAAGCACAACTGAAGCCTCTTGCTTTCGCTTACGTGGAGTTTGCACTGTCTGCCACCGCGCAGCCCCTGACTGCTTCTCTTGTCCCAGTTTCAATTTCATTCTTGGTGTTTCTGTTCTCTTTGGGACTGAAGATATTTATTGAGTCAACAAATATCCTTGCATTTTGTTAAATACCCACATTTTGTTAAAATTCTTTAAGTATGAATTCTTGTTTCAAGGAGAAAGTTAAACTTATGTTTATCATTCTTATAGCCAGGGCAGGTATATTAGATAAGACAGGCATGGTAATAAATGGATAAATAAATGAATGAATATATTCTTTACTTTTCTTAGTCATTATTCCTCTTCACCACCTGACTCTGAGGCCTGGGGTAGGAGGGAGAGCAGGAACTCAAGAAGTCTTTCTCAGACATGGATGCACAGGTAATAATATTTATAATAATCAGTGGAATTCCCTGGCGGTCCAGTGGTTAGAACTCTGCACTTGCACTGCGGGGGGCCCAGGTTCGATCCCTGGTCGGGGAACTGAGATCCCGAAAGCCACGCAGCCAAGTTAAAAAAAAAACAATGAAAAAAAACCATCTGTGCACAGGTAATAATACCTATAAAATAACAATAAATGGCTGGCACTGCTCTTAGCATTTTATGTATATTAACTCATTTATTTATTTACTTATTATTTTTTTTGGCTGCGCGGTTTGCGGGATCTTAGTTCCCTGACCAGGGATTGAATCCGGGCCCTCTGCAGTGAGAGCACCCAGTCCTAACCACTGAACCACTAGGGAACCTCCTAACTCATTTATCTTTACAACAACCCTGCATTGAAGGTCCTATTAGTATATCCACCCCATAGATGAGGAAGCAGAGGCTCAGACAGGTTAAGTAGTTTGCCCAACATATACAACTACAGTGCCTGGCAACTAGGATCTCTCCACTGGGTGCTCACCTTGGCATTCAAGGCCCTTCACAATCAAAACACAGTGCACATTTGCAGTCTGAACTCCTCTTTCAGATTCTACCTCTTGCTGCTAGCCGTGGACATCCCCTCACTATCCCCCACCCTATCTCTGCCTCCCGAAACCTCACCCATCCTTCAAGGCCCTGCTCAGATGCTACCTTTCCCATGAAGCCTTCCCTGGCCCACCACGCTGGGAAGACTCTCTCCTGCCTTTGTGTTCCCCAGGCATTCTGCCTTGTATCATATTATGCTGTGTGTGTGTGCATGCCCCCCGTGTGTGCGTGTGCAAACCTGGCTCTAAGCCATAAGCTTCCTGAGGGCAGGGCCTCACCAGACCAAGTCAGTACACGTATTAAAAAATAATTACTCCCCCCCACAACCTCCCCAAGTCCTTGGCTTTCCTGGGGACTTGCGTTGGGAACAAAAAGTCAGTCCTTGACAAATGTCTGGGACTCTGCCAGGTGGGGTCACTTGGCCAGTTGTGGAGCCACAGTTCTCTGGTGGTCTTGTGGTCTTCTCCACTCTGGGGCCCCTCATCCCCCAGTACCTCTAGGCTATGGCCCCCCTCTCTACTGAAGATCCCAGGAGCCCCGACCTCAGTGGAGCTGAAGATCCAGGGACACGGGGAGTGGGATGTATGGGGAAACTGGAGCCCCCGCCCCCTTCAGTCTTAATGTTCTGCCCTGATTATGCCTCGAATATGACTCCCAGAGAAGGCAGGGGGGGATGTGGAGACGAAGGAGGACGGCGAAGAGAGGTACCTAGGGAGGGCAGGGGAAGGCAGGCAGAAGGAAAGATACGCGTGGTGGGAGGTGGCAGGAGGTGGCGGTGGCTCGACCTCGGGCCGCTCTGGACTCTTCGCCAGGGCCAAGAAGGACCCGAGTCTGGGCGGCGGAGGACAACTTCTGCCAGCAGCCCGCGGGTCCTGTCCGTCTCCCGCGCTGTGGTGCGCAGCCCCGCGCCAGCCCTCCCGGGGGAGCTGGAGCCCGGGTCGTGCGGTTCCCCACCCGGGGCCACCCGGACGCCCACCCCCACGCCCACCGGCCTCCTCACCTTCGGGACCTGAGGGAGCGACGGGCCAGCGGAGCCCTGAGTCCTGGCCGGGCTGGGTGGGGGGAGGCGCTGTTCTTCCCCGCGCTAGCTGCGCCCGGGGTTCCGCAGCACCCGCCCGGGCTGTGGCGCCATCAGCTACTGCGAGGCTGCGGGGCGGTCGGGCCGGGGCTCCGGGGGGCTCCCGGGCGCCGAGGGGGGTCCGGGGCGGGCTCCAGGCGTAAACACCCAGCAACGTGACCGGAACTGGCGAACGAGCAGTAGGGGGGAAGGGGGGGCGGGAGAGATAAGGGGGGAGGGGAGGGACCTGGGACTGGCGAGGAGGGGCCGTGGGCGGGGCGGGGGGAGGGGAGGCTGGCTGAGCGCGGTCGGGGGAGGGGGAATCCCGGGAGTCCTGGGAGCCCCGGGAGCCAGGCCTAAGGACCCCGGCGGGCTGCCGCACTCGCGGAGCCGGCTTTGCCTGGAAGCTGGAAGGGAAACCCGGGGAACCCGCCGACCACTTGGAGAGCAAGGGCGCGGCGGGCGTATCAGCACCGCGGACAGCGCCCAGGCCCGCAGGCCGCGATCCGCTCCTCCCCTCTGCCCACCCCCTGGCGTAGAAACCAGACAGTGCCCCCCACTGGCCCAGGGAAGGGTTGGGGTTGGGGGGTGAGCTGCCCAGGGGTCAGAAAATCTACCCTGTGCCTCAGATCTGTCACTAGCTGTGTGACCTTGGGTGAGTCACGTCACCTCTCTGGGCGGCAGTTAATAAGACATCCCCTTGCCCTCTATTTGAGGGGCCCAAAAGCCAAGAGAAGATCCTTTTAAAACCCTAACTAAAGTCCAGAACATTGGGGTTGATCCGTTTTCACTGCACATGGGAGGCTTCTGGACCGGACTGCTTGGCTTCTAATTCTGGGTCTACAAATACCTTCCTCCTTCTCGGACCCCAGTCTCCTCATCTGTAAAATGGGGTAATGATAGTCTACACGGCTCATAAGATCTTCGGGTTGTCGTGAGGTTTAAATGAAATAATGCATGTAAAGTACATACAACAGTGCTGCGTGCTCGGTAGGCATTCTTGCTTACGATGGCAAGGGACCAGGTGGCACTGAGTGAGTGGCAGATGGTCCAGAGTTCCCTCTGGGTGAGTCATTTCCATCCCTGCCTTCAGGGACTGGAGGAAGGGGCTGAGGGGCTTCAGACTAAAGGGCTGGTCTGGCTTTCCCCACTCTGCTGCCAGCCGAATACTTCCTTCCCTACCCTCCTGGGCGAAATATCCAGAGAAATCTTCTACCTTTGTCTCCAGAACTGGGAGACCTTTGCGTGAGGGCCTCGGGGAAGGTTCCAACGACTCATCAAAGGTCATCCTGCCTTTTCTCTATGGATCCCTTTGCTCCCGGTCCTTCCTAGTCAACTTTCAAACCTTAACTGGACTTGAGCGTCAATGGATAAAAGCTTTAGCTGCTCTTGGCAGATTCTCAAAAAATTGAAATTACTCTCTTAGTTGGCTTGACAGGCAGTGGGGTTCAAAGGCAACTCAAATCCCACCCTGTAGTAACTTTAGCTTCTAGCTGTGCTGAAGGTAGCTCCTCTTCACCCCATCTCCCCTGAGGAAACCCCTGGGAGAGGAGCAGAAAAGCCAGCCCAGTCCTGCTGCTTCGTCCCTTGCTGTCCCTCATGGGGCAGCATTCCTGGGCCATGTATTGTGTTTGTGTCTCCAGCAGGGCTATGGGTCTGATAAACCATTGATTTACCAGTTCTGATGAACCAACCCCTCAATTTCATGAGATATTGGTAAGAAGGATGAAAGGTATGTTTTGTATCCCCAGAAGACATGTGGTATGAAGCACCTGAAAACCTGGGCTCTGGTCTGAGCTCTATTACTTACTAGTTAGGTAATTCTGGGGAAGCCTTAACCTCTCTGAGCTCCAGTTCCTCCGTAAAATAGTAAAAAAGGAAAAGCAACATCTACTCTGCCAACAGGATCATTGTGGGGTTGTCATGAGGTGAGAGTGAAAGGGTTTTGTAAAGTGCATGCAGATGGAATTGTTATAACCAGGACCCAAATGTTTTTCTCCTTGATCAGTATCAGGATGGATCCTGGAGGGACTTCCCTGGTGGCACAGTGGTTAAGAATCTGCCTTCCGGACTTCCCTGGTGGCACAGTGGTTGAGAATCCACCTGCCAATGCAGGGGACATGGGTTCGAGCCCTGGTCCGGGAAGACCCCACATGCCGCGAAGCAACTAAGCCTGTGCACCACAACTACTGACCCTGCGCTCTAGAGCCCGTGAGCCACAGCTACTGAGCCTGTGTGCCACAACTACCGAAGCCTGCGTGCCTAGAGCCTGTGCTCCACAACAAGAGAAGCCACCACAATGAGAAGCCCGCACACCGCAACAAAGAGTAGCCCCCGCTCGCCACAACTAGAGAAAGCCCACGCACAGCAACAATGAAGATCCGATGCAGCCAAAAAAAAAAAAAAAAAAGAATCTGCCTTCCAGTGTAGGGGACGTGGGTTCGATCCCTGGTCGGGGAACTAAGACGCCACATGTCGCGGGGCAACTAAGCCTGCGCATCGCAACTACTGAGCCCGCGCACCACACGAAAAATCCCATATGCCGCAGCTAAGACCCGACACAGCCAAAAAAAAAAAAAAAGATGGATCCTGGGACTCTGGCTTTTCACCAGCTGAAGCAAACAGCTCCAGATGCCTGTCTGATGGGTGGCCCTGCCTGGTCATGGGGGGCTCTAGCCTTGCCACAAGAAGTGCTTCTGACAGAGTCCTGCACTGGGCCAAGCTCCCAGCTGGGCCCCTAGGGCTGTCCGTGGGACACTTGCAGGAAGAAGATCCACATGTGAGACAACAAAAGATGTGCACAAAAGCATCCAAGGAATAACTGAAAATGATGAACCAGCAGAGCTAGGGCTTAAGCTTTTGGGCAAGGAGACTTTGAGGTGCCTCCTTGGAGGAGGTTAACAATCAGTCAGCACACAGAGGACAGTAATACTGAGCAAAGCTGACCGCATGGTCCTATACCTGACATTATGGGGAGACCCAGAGACATATTATGACATACGGAGATTATGATATTGTGGATGATGGTGATGATAATAACACTTATTAAGCATGTTCTATATGCCAAGCCATCCACTAAGTACTTAAAAAAGTCATATTTCTATTTTCAAAATTAAACTTGTAACCAAGTCAAAGAAGACTAAATTGTATAAAAAGTGTACATCAGGCCTCAGAAGTAACATTATTTTGAGCTGAGCACTTTACCCAGATAATCTCATTGAAACTTCAGAGAAATCCTACTGGAAAGGTTTATTCCCATTTGTAGGTGGGGAAAATGAGGCTCAAGAGAGGTTAAGTTTGATACCACCCAGACTGTAAGCAGCCGAGCCAGGATTCAAACTCCAGCCCGATCGAGGCCAGAGGTGGGGGACTTCCCTAGTGGCGCAGTGGTTAAGACTCCGTGCTCCCAATGCAGCGGGCCGGGGCTCGATCCCTGGTCAGGGAACTAGATCCCACA